CCACGTGAAGTGGCGAAACCCACTGGCTTTGCGAATGGCGTAGTATACCCGCCTTAATTATAACGTCGAACTCTCGTTTGACTGAAGCCAACTTTTACGAGGTAAGCAACCTGCGCGGAGTATTGATCAAACTGTGAAAATCCTTCCTGTAAAGCCCAGTCAATCTACCTCGGTTCCACATTTCGTGAATTTAACGTTCCATTCACCTAACACCATCCGTCTCATACCTACATAAACAATTAACGTTCCACTCCCTTTGTGCATCTACACATCGATCCTACTATTTAACTTTGTTTGTTTATCTGCTTCATTCGTACACTACTTGTTTTAATCGCGACCTGAGCGCTCACATTTGACTCGCTCGTGTGCAGCGTGAAGTTGAGTGTGCTGTTTTTGTCCAGACCCATTTTCTTCCGTTCAGATTTGTTAAATTATGCTCACAGTAACACTTGGTTCTTGTTTTCAAGTTGTTTCGAGATCACTTTGAGGTTTTTACCGTTTTTATTTGCTTATTTGATCGTTTATTAATGCAGTACCGTGGAAGCTTGCAGGATCGTTCGTTTTGTTGACGTTTTGGGATCCGATTTTGGCTACGCGTTACTCGTTGATCTTTTTGGGGGACACACTTGAATGTACGGGTGGGTCGCGAATGACGATTTTATGGATAACCGGTGTAGTGCCCGGGGAAAAAATTGTAGAAACTGGTTGGTAACCACCTTCTAACAAACGTTGCAACCCTAAATGTACACCGTTGTTCAAGACGGAAATTATTGCCACAGCGTACTTTGCTAAAACTTGCTGTTGCTGTCGAGGAGGAGGCGTTTGCCTGTGTCGACAGTGGGGCCTTTATATGCTAGGAAATCTATTTTAGGAATAGGAAAAGGGACTTCAGCAATCAAAAATGGCCACTCAGCTGCTTAAGATAAGTTACAATCTACATTGAAGTTCCTGGTACCAAATGTACGAATTGTGGTACCGTTAGCCGCAGTCAAGGTGAAAGCTTGAGCTGGGAGCCTCGTTTCAGTAGAGGAAGGAGGAATGACGCTCACTTCCGCACCGGTGTCCACTAGGAAGTACATACCACTAATGGAGACCCTAACGTGGAAAAGGCGGCTCCTAGTTCGTGTGCCAAATGACGACACCGTAATCAGTCGCCGGCTTAGTCTTTTCCCGAAACGGGCTGACCTTTCCACGAGCACGGGTGGATGCATTTGGCAGCATCTTTATCAAAACGTGCCTGGTGCGAACAATATTTATGACTATATCTAAGCGACTTTCACCTACGACGCGTGCTCGATTGTAGCTTTCCACTGGAGCGTGCGTCTCTCGATTTTCTATTCGTGCTAAGTTTTTCAATGAAATCCTGGAAAAAGCCGTCGATAGATGTGGCCCGAGGGACGGCGGGGGTAACCGCGGCGACAGTGGGTTGAAGGTATCGCATGGCGTGATCTGCTATAACCGTCAAACGCTCCATGGGAATGCCTCGCGCTGGAACAAGAAGGAATTGAACGTCTTGTGGTAACCTATGTAACCACAGTTCCTTAGCGAATCCGACGTCGTGTGAGATATTGCCCATCTCATTACAAATGAGTCTCCAAAGTTGTGAAGGCTTACGGTCATCTCTGTTAGTGCGTTGGGTAAACTCCTGTAAATAACTGGGATTTACTTAAGTTCGTATAGGAATTTTCATTGTATTTGTACATCCTAAGGGTGGCGTCAGCTTTTGTTGATAAAAGAGATCTAGACCGAAAGGGTTTCTCCCATTGGTAAATTTAGACCTGGTTCCCACCTATTATTGCATTTAATCGAAGTTTAAAGACGCTACTCTCGGGCTTACCTTTATTTCATTCACGCGAGACTCTTTCAGTGTTGGGCCTAAAGCTTTTGCTTGCCTTGTACGTATAATTGTTTTATATCATCTGATTAACCATATTAGAGGTCTAACTCTCACACTTTTTAACTAACTTGAGTGCCGTTAGTATTATTATCATACCACGTGTTTCATTTCCATGCCTTAAAGTGTCATGTAGGAGACGTGTTGTATCGGGTATGGACTGTAACATCTACGAGCAGTGGGCACATAAAGCTTGCTCATAACTCTCAAACGCACTCTATAAACTCTACAGTACTCACGAGGATCTTCTGTGAATCTGCGAAAGTTGCAAAGAGATCGCTAACACTGCACTAAAAGACAGCCAGAGCTCATCATCCAGCGATAATGGTATGAAATCGTTTCGCGCAAACTCCACCACACTCAGGTCACCACCAGGCCAAGCAAGCAACGTCACTCAGACTATACTCCTTACCCAAAAGGCCACATTACTACTCTTGAAGGAATCACTCGATCACTCGTCGCCAAAGACTCACATCGTGAGCCCACAAGGAGCTCATGGTCGCAAGCAGTTGAAACCAAGGTCACTTCCAAGTGAATGGAGGAACATAGCCAGCCCTCGTGGCTCAAACACAGTTGTCCATAACAACCGTGCCGTTGTGAAAGCGCAATACAACCATCATATAAAACAAACCACGCAAAATCCAACTCAATGGCAAGAGCAGAAAACGATGATGCACCTTGCGCCAAAACCCGTCTCTCTGAAAATATCGCGAACAGAAAAGATCCCACCGGGTGAACCAATCCTTCATCTGACCCCACCACACGAGAGTCCCTGGGTGACGATAGTAGTAAACGACATCTGACAAAACTGGAACAGGTGATCCCTACAAAACCAAGAATCAACTGAGGCCGCAATTCATAAACAAGGCTATCATGAGCCCAACTACAGGGTGGAAAGATCAGCAGCAAAACACTGTACAACACCCAAAATCCAAGACAAGACAAGCTTAATAGCTCACCAATGAACCCGTTCACAGCAATCTCTTCAAGGTAAAAGGACCAGAAGTATCCAACCAGTCGCAAACAAATCCTCCGGTCCTGATAACATCCATCCTTCCATCATCAGACACCTCAGCTCCTTATTAAGTCCCCGAACTTGCCTCCCTACTCAATATATCTCTCTCCCTGAGCGTCATACCTCCAGACTGGAAGGAAGTAACTAAAATTCCCGTTTTCAAAGACGGAGATAGGTCCAGTATATCCAACTAAAGACCTATTAGCTTAACCAGTATAATAACCAAACGCTTGAGCGCATTCCGCGAGACATGATATGCGCCCTTCTTTTCAACAAAGGCTTTTTCAGCAACGTGCAGCACGGATTCTTGAAGGGCAAATCCTGCCTCTCGAATCTCTTCACCTTCCTGGACGTTATGACGGACAGACTGGATAGAGGAATCCAGATCAAATTATGTTACTTAGATTTGGAAAGTCTTCGACTTCGTGAATCACCGACTATTGAGCTTTCGACTTAGAAAAACATGAATCTCCAAGACCATATGTGACTGGATAGAAAATCTCGTCTCCAGTCGTTCATTCAGTCGAAGTCAGAGAGAATCACTTAAGACGCCGGCACCTTTACCAGTGCAGTGTCCCAAGGTTGCACACTTGCGCCTCTACTCTTTCTCATTTTCGTGAACGACATTACCGAAGGCCTTGAAAATTCCTGTTTCCTCTATGCTGACGACATGAAGTTAGTAAGAAACAGTAGCCAACTAGGCACCATCCAAGCTGACATCCACAAAATATGTGAATGTTGAGCCAATTTTTATCTACCGCTCAACGCGCTGAAGAGCCACATTCTTTCAGGCGTCGTAGGTCCTTCGATCTTCGTCACTAACCTTTTTGGGACTCCGGAATCCCTACCGTCGAAGTGCAGTGCGACAGACCAAGGGGTTAGAGTTACATGCAAATTCACCCCATCTGCAGCATGCGACGCAGCAACTCTAAAGGCCCATAGAGCATTATTCTGTCTTAAAACCGCCATAACGAACAGAAGCGCCGAAGTTTTCATCCCGTTATATGCAGTCTCCGTCCGCCCTCACCTTGAATACTGTATTAAAGCGTGGGCCCTATTCCTCCGTAAGGATATCCGGAGGCTGGAATACGTCAAAAGGCTCACTACCAGAATGGTATGGGAAATGAAACAGCTGAGATACAGAGACACGCTCCCAGCACTAAACCTCTTCTTCCTCGAAGGGCGCAGACTACGAGGAGATCTGATTGAGATGTTCAAAATATCTAGGAAGCTCAACAGTTCTCCAATGGGTCACATGTTCCACCTGAGGAAAGATAGAGGTCTCCGGGGGCATCCATGCACTCTGGAGCGGACAAGAAGCCGAGTGCAAATCAGGCACCACATCTTCTCAACTAGAGTAGTTCCAGCCTAAAATCGGCTTCCAGCAACAGTAGTGTCATGCCAATCGATACAGACCTTTAAGCTCGGGTTAGACCAAGCGTGGAGTTGCCTTTTCCCGGATTTATGCTAATGATAACTCACCCCAAGAAACAGAGGCTGCGCCATCTCTGTTTCCCTTCTCTAATTTCAGATAACCACGGAACGGTCAAACTGGTAACAATACCAACTCAGATGCGAATCAGTCCCAGAACAGAACATGCCATTACCAGTACACCTCACAGGCTAAAGCCTTCTCGTGTCCTGCAATTTGAAATTTGAAATTCATATTCAGTCCTGTGCAACCAGACCTGTACTGTACTGCCAGAGTAAGTGGGCCGAGTGGGTATATATATGCTGCAAGGAAGCAGCATGGCTTGCGTTTCAACGTGAGTCGCTGAAGGTAGAAACACCATACAGAGAGAACATCCCCAAAAGTTGGGGAACAAAAACACTGCCCGGCCATACGCAGAGGTTGCCAGCACTCCAGCGGGAAAAGCGTTATCGGGACGTCCCAGAAATTTCTCGGAGGCATTTTCCTCTACCCCGGTTCGACAGGTCGTCAGCGGAGTAGGGATGAAGGCAGCTGGGACAGTGCAGCAACCGGTTAAGAGACCTCGAGGAAAGAAGCAGGAAAAGGATTCGTGACCCAGTCACCCGGAACTAAAAGCCCTCGAGAGATAAGTGATGGATCTACAAAGGCAGATTCATACGATGAATAAGACATCCGAGCGAAGGCTTCTGATACTTAACAAGGAAGAGCTTTATATAAGGAAGGCCAATACCAGACGGGAGTTCGACCATAGAAGGGTGTTAGATATACTGCGTCTAGCAGGTATCCAGTATCCCGGAGGTATTAAAAGGGTCCATCGGGTGGGGACGTATAAAGCCCCGAATCCCAATAGAAATGGCCCTCCTGCGCGACCCACTTTAGTGGAGTTCGTCGTGGAACAAACTAGTGATCTACTGCTGTCCCGATCTGTGTTGTTAGCTCAACAGAAAGGCCGATATCAGATCGCACCAGACGGACCCAATGCTCGAGAAGTGGGTATGAATCCTGACAAAATAAAGGACCAGGTCCAAACTCGGGGCATATCTTCCGGCAGTCGCGCAGCACGCATACCAGGGGTATCGCCCGGAGTCGTGGTCATCGAAGATGTCCTAGAAGACGAGCAATGGCAAAGTTGCCTGCAAGGAGACAACGTAGACGAAGAAGCTTCACTAAGGTTCAGCAAAGAGCCACTAGCTGAGGTGGCTCACCAAAAAGACGCGCAGGCCACAAGTACCGCGGAAAAAACTTGCTGCCCCCTACGGGGGCTGTACCCGAGGCCCAAGCAAGAAGGATCTATGGGAAACGCATAGTAACGGAGGGCAGCGTGTTCATGCTGTACACCAATGCACACAGCGTCAGGAATAAATGGGCAGAGCTGGCTCAGCTAGCCTGGGAACAGGTGCCTGTAGTGGCAATCATCGAAACATGGCTGAATAATAAATACCATATACCGCAGATTATCCAAGAGAGGTTCTCCGTCTACCGGCAGGACTGAAATCAGGTATATGCGGGAGAAGGAGTAGCAATTCTGATTAGACGAGGCACAAACCATATAAAGTCAAAGACCATTCTCTGCATGAGAAGTGTGCAGTTGCGCACAGCAACCCTAATAATACTCAAGAATAATACTCAGGAATAGGAGGGTCACCGTAGTATGTGTTTATTGTGCACCAAGTACAAACCGGAAGAGAAAATTCAACTGCCGTGTGCCCTCAGGAGGATAGTTAAGGAAGCTAACAAAGCCATCATTGTTGGTGACTTCAACCTATCACATATAGACTGGAGGTCTGAGGTGTGCACTCGGTGGACACCAGAAGAGGACTATATCAAATGGCTGCAAGAAAATGCCCTACGGCAACATGTTAGGGAAAGCACTAGATTCAGTCCCAGCTAGATCTAGTGATCACCACACACAAGAATGATATGATGGCGCTACAGTCGCACCCACCTCTTGGTAAAAGCGACCACGTCAATATCCCGATCAAAATGTGCATGCGACATGCTAGGGGACCATCCAAGCTGATTAGAAATTTCGGCTCTATGAATCTAGGGAAGCTTAGAACCAGGGCATCGGAATTAGTTAGGGATGCTCCGGAAGAGGCTTGTGTAGAGGACCACTGGATGCTAATTAGGTAGGCCCTCATATATACGCAAAACGAATTCGCTCCANCAAGCCGTTGTGATGGAGGACAGCCATAGTCAGGGCCATTAGTTAATGAAATAGGTACTGGAAGAGCTTTAGGATTTCCGGGAATCAACAAGCGTGGATTCGTTATAGAAGGTGTATAAATGAGGCGGTTAGGCTAATACGAGAAGTAAAACGGCAGCATGGGCTTCAGCGGGCTCAATGCACCAAAATCAAACCAAAGAACTACTATAGCTACGTTCAGTCGAAGGGAACACTGAGAGAGGGTATAGGACNATAGGCGCCGCAGCAGCCGTTATGGACGAACAAGGTAAGATGGATGCCTTGGCCGGCTATTTTGGCAGTGTACACCGAAAGAATGACAGTTTGCCGAGAACCTTATGAATCGAAACATCCCCGCCGAAAATTGGTGAGCTTCAGTTATCAAAAGAGAGTGCGGCAGCACTTGGAGGGCCTAGATGTCCATAAAGCGGCTGGACCGGAAGAGATTCATCCTGCTATTATCAGGCCCATAGCGGACATCCTCGCAGGACCGGTGTATAAGTTATTCAAAGCTTCATTAGATCAGGGTATCCTACCGAGGGACTGGAAGGTAGCAGCGGTGGTAGTCAAACATAAGGGAGGAGCCCGATCAGAGTTAGGTAAGTACAAGCCAGTTAGTTTAACTAGTATCTTGTGTAAGGTGCTTGAGAAAATTATTCGCACACATATATGCCAGCACCTAACGCAGCATTCTATGCTGTATCCAACTCGACGCGAGTTTCTCAAAAGTGGATCTTGTTTGACTAATCTACTGTGATTATTGGACGAAGTTACCAGAAGATTTGATGTAGATGTATGTTATCTTGACTTTAGCAAGGCATTTGACTCGGTCAACCAACGCATATTGATAATCAAATTGGGGGCGTTCGGTATAAAAGAAAAAGTACAAATATGGATGAGAAACTTAGTCACTGACAGGACCTTCTACGTCAAAGTAGTTGGCAAGTGCTCCCGTACAGCATCCGTCACAAGCGGTGTACCCCAGGGCTCCGTGCTACGTCCGTTGTTGTTCCTGCTATTCGTAAACGAACATGCTGCGCTGCTGAGGTCACCAACCATTTTTTTCGTTGACGATTTCAAGGTGGTTGAATCTAAAGGAAGAGAGAACCTTAAAAGTGGCATAGCTGCTGTCCTCAGCTGGGTGCCGAAGTGGGATTTGCCGCTGAATGCTGGTAAAAGCTTGCTGCTATTGCGGACCGACGAAAGCTTAACAGTAGTACAAGACCAGGGTTCGTTCACCATAAGATCGGATAGCAGTGCTAAGGACCTGGGTATCGTCGTAACCTCCAATTTCCGCTGGGCCCAGCAGTGCATATCAGCCGCGAATATAGCTCTCAGAGAATTCTTCAGATTGAGGTCAGCACTGTCTTGCAGAAAACCGGAGGTGTTCGTGCCCCTGTACAGAGCTATAGTTGGCCCTCACCTCGAGTACTGTGTGCAAGCGTGGTCACCGTACTTCAAAAAGGATGCCGTCTGCATAGGGCGCGTTCAATCACTGGCAACGAAAATGGTTGAGGGTCAGCGAGGTAAAGATTACAAGTGAAGGCTTCAGGACCTGAGAATATTCTCTTTAGAAAAGAGAAGACTCAGGGGAGATATGATAGAAACAATTAAGATAATGAATGGTTTATCTGATATTAGAACTGAAACCCTGTTCCAAGAAGCGCTAGATTCCCGTACAAGTGGGCACAAAATGAAACTAGCCAAGGCCCGGTCTCGATTGATAACCCGATCACACTTCTTCAGCAACAGCGTAGTCAACATAAGGAACAGACTACTTGTGGAGCTAAAGGACTGTCGACAGTGCTAGCATTCAAAATGGCACTGTAATAACGGCGGTGTAAGCTTGTTCCTGAAATGGAGGTCAGGAGAGCTAGCGACATAGGAAAACAGGAGGCCAAGAAGCGGGTCAATCAGGCTGCATGGTTTTGTTTTCGCTCTTACCCTGATCTGGCGCGCGCTTGAAATTTTGGAATGAAACGTTCCACTGTAGAATTAGGCCGACAATAGGAGAAGGAAACACTCGAGGGTCCAATTTCTGTTGGAAAATTAGTGGAAGCGCAACTTATACCAGATTTTCCGCACTCAAGATCGGAATTCTGAATCTGGGACCCGCAACATAGCGGAACCGGGTGGCAGGACCAACTTGACGAATTCCCGTCCAGGTGAGCGAATAGGCCACAGCATTTATTGCCGAGAGCACTACCCAAAGTTACTTATCCTAGGTTTGTATCGATTTTGTGTAGGGTTTCCATCTTCACACGCCCCTTTTCCCGGACATAATCTGGAAGCATATTTAGACAAGTGACATGGTAGCTCAGAGAAATCCTCCCAAAAGGGCTGCACGAGCCAAACAGGTTATTGCACCCTACCCGTGTGCCAGAAGAGAGTGTTCTCTCGAGGTTGATGAGGACAGAAGTTGTGATCTGTGCCAGGATTGGTTTCACCGACGGTGCAGTAAACTAACTTCCAGAGCAGTTGAACACTATGCTGTCCAATAGTTTCTAAAATGAGTATGTCCAAACTGCACCAGCTCTATCGGAATATCCAGAGCGAAAACAGTGCCACCGAAAGGAAACTCTCCTTCGCAGTTGGCAGTGCAAGCTTCTTCATGTAACTCTACCCCGAGTGGGCAGATAGACAGAAGTAAACCCGAGCTAAGGACTCTGATGCCTGCGGAAGGAAACCAGTCTGGAGTAGTTAATGACCGACAATTGATTTTAGTTGGGAAACCTGAGCGTGGTGACCAACCAGCCACGTCGGTGGCACCCCTAGGCCGAGAGGTAAAGTCTATCCCTAAGGCACACATTGCCGAATCGGAAACCGCAGGGCCTAACGTGCAGGGAGCCGGAAACAAGCGGGGAACCAACAAGGCTACCCAGTGTCACTTTCCACCAGGGAAAGGGGCACTGGACGCTCACTCGGAGTTCATTACTAAGCTATCCGAACTCAACAACAGCCTGAGAGACTCGCTGCGTAGGCTTGAGGTCCACAGCAACACAGCCTTAGGGAAAAACAGAAATGTCGTTATCAGGGGCATCCCAGAGCCGTTTTGTAGAGAAACGCGCAGTCGCATGCAAGGGCTTCTACACCAAGTTAGAAACATAATCCGACTCGCTTAGATCCCGTCAGGGGTGCGAAACAAGCGAGTTTTGAGCCTTGGGAAGTGGCAGGGCGGTCAACGGGCACCTAGCGCCTTACCATCTAGGCCAACTCTTGTAGAGCTTTATAACCCAAGGCATTTTATTGTATTGAAGCTTTGGCGAGTTATATATACAAGCTTTCAGCCAAAAATAGACCACCGTTACAAATCTGGTAAAAACAAGGGAAAAAGTGGGATGTGAAAACGTACAAAGGTATGAGTTAATTACCAAATGAATTAGAAAGCTCAGCGCGAACACTTCTCTTGTCGGTCGGTATCCGGGCAAGACAGGGTACCAAAGAGTTTCTGTATGCGGATATGCGAGACGGGATAAGTTTGTACTTGGAAC